ATTAATTTGATACTAAAAAGAATGGAATTCAGATGTCAACTTTTGTGAAACATGATGCAGTTATTACTCATGACACACAAGTTCGGAAGGATGTTTGCCAAGATGTGACAGACGTGACAGGAATATGAGTCTGGCTGTGCATAGACAGATGGGCAAGGATAACCACTTTTGACATAATCAACTTTCTCTTCTTCATTTTCAACCAGGTTTTTTGTGAAGGAGTCTGGAGTGGTTGAGATGGATGAATGAGGATAGTCATGCATTCCATGTTGATATAACACTTTAAAAAGTAATGAAGGGTAGTTTGCCTCTTTCTGGCTTCTTTTTCTTTCTGTGTCTTTCAAAAATTCATCTTAGGAAATCAAGTGCAGTGGTCTCTTGGTGTGCCCAATGTTAGCTTTGCATTCACCACTTCAATTTCTTTATTTTGTTTCCAACATATCAAGTGTCAACACAATGTGCCTACACTTAGGTTTGGATGATTTTGTATCAATAGGTCCTGGAAGTAAATCATTATAAAAACTTAACAGTGCCTGAGAGTGCAGGACTGGTAGGACAGCATCAGACTATTTAGGTGGCTGGAAAGTGTGAATGTATTGCTCACACACACACACACACTAGCTCTCTTTAGCAATATGCATCGACTTTCAAAGCGAGTACAAGTCTACATACTTTAGACTTCATGTTCTTGTTTTACTTTTATTTAACCCAGTGCCAATGGGATGACATGTGTTCGCATGTCATGCCCACAGTTAGTTAAGCTTATTAACTGTCTTTACACATAGTTGACTCTCAAAGTATGCTGTCACCAATGAGTCCATTACTAGTACTACCTATCTCACCTCTTTATCCTTTTTCCTGATTTTTGGAAATGAAAACTCAAGGAAAGTTGAAATTAGGTGAGGTCAAGAGGTCAACTAATTGGCCTCTTGGTGACTAAGCACTTCTGGAACCATCTATGTTTAGAGACACAAAATATTGCTACTGTGAATACTATCCTCCTGGCAGCACTGGGTTAATTTCACACTATAGCTTTTTTTATATCATGTTTGTTAGTAGTTTTTCATGTGTTTATTGATATATGCATATAAAGTTTCAGAAAGCTCAACAAAAGAGCGGAATGCAATTTATGATGTGTCCACATAGTTTCAATAATGGAACAGTAAAAACTGGGATCCCCTGTATAATTTTCTTATACTATTATTTGTTTCAGAAAAGAAGTAAATTCTTTAGAGATGTGTGTTACATTCTGCACAATATATATAAATTATTATTATCACACGTACACACATTCACAAGTAAATACACACACACACACACACACACACACACACACACACACACACACACACACACACACACATATAAATTTATTATTATTATTATTATTATTTTATATATATATATATATATATATATATATATATATATATATATATATATATATATATATATATATATATATATATATATATATATATATATATATATATATGTATATAAATGTTTGTATATGAAATGTATGAGTCATTGATTCACTGAATTATTGATTGGTTTGTATTGCTATAACTTTAGTCATGTGGTGGGCTGACTCTATATAAACAAAACTGAAACTAATTGTTTCAAACTTTTTTTTTTCCAGATACATTAGACGAGGATTCCATAAGTGAACTCTCATCCATGCGTGACTCCAACATATTGGACTCTCAGCCTGAAACCAACATAACCGCCGTCTCCGTTGTAAATAACCAAAGCATAACCAGCAACAACACCGCAGTTGTAAATCTAACCTCCTCCATAAATGTCGGCACCTGCAGTGCACTTAGTAATCATGTAGCAAATATTAGTATTGCCAATAGTTTGATGTCCAACAGTGATAGTAATGTCTTACACGACGAGAGAGATGGGAGAGAAAGTAGTTGCGACGTTAGTGAATCCAATAACCCATCCCCGCGACCTCTGGAGACGACGATGGTGCCCACGTCAGTCCCGGCCACCAGCTGCGGGGCCACACAGACTAGCGGGGGAGGCAAAAACGCGGGGAATAGTGCGACCCAGTCAGGCTACACGTGCGGCGGGGCGGTGGGCGGCTCGGGCAGCAACAACTGCGACGGGGGGAATAACAACGGGGGCGGCAACAACAACGGCAACACCAACGGCAATGCTAACAGCGGGGGGAACCAGGCGGGTAACAACAACCCGGGTCCTGTAGATAACAGTGTGAACTACGACTCCAGCAACGACCGGCTGAGGTTCCACGACAAGTGCGGGACCCTCGTGAAGTTGTCCAACAGCGGGAGAACAGCAGAGAGAAGACGGCCACTCGATGAATTCAACAATGGGGTCGTAATGAGCTGTAGAGCACTAAGAGAAAATGAGTTATTTGAGGTGAGTGTTGCTGTATATTGTAGTCTTTAGCTTCAAATGTGATCATCCATGTGGACGGATATATTTTGTATTTTGTTTTTTATATACTCCTATGCATGTGGAGTTAAAAATGATAATGATAATAATATATATATATATTCCCCCCCCCCCCTGCTTGTAAATCATTAAAAAAGTACAGGCTACAAAGTTAGGGTCATTTAGGTTCCAGGAACCTCCTCATTTCTTTTTCTTGGCCAAATGCATATCAGCATTATGCTACTATTGTCACTGTTCTTATTCTTGATGGTTATTGTAGTATCATTGGTGGTATTATAATTATTATTATTTTGGATGTTACTTCCAGTAGGAAAAGAGGCTTTGGTTGCAGCAGCATGTATTAGTTTGTCCATATATAGGCTGGATTGCCAGAAAAGTTTTAAATGGATTGTTAGGACATTTTATGAGTGGGTTGCCTGTGGACCAGGGGTTAGTTGATTAGATATTGGTGATGAATTGGATCTGTGGATGTCTCCTGGATGAAATTATAGCATTTTTCATGAGTGCAAATATTGAATTTCATTAGTTTGCATAAATATGATTTATTCATGTTTTCTGTTGTTATCATGCGAAACAATAACTGGAAGAAGATTATTTACAAGTTATGGTGATTTTAATCCACCTCGCATTTACGAATGTTTTCATTTGCTCGGACTTGACACTTTAACCTTGCCACTTCCCAGATACGAATCGATCGCCTGGTGGACAAGTGGTCGGGCAGCATCGAGGTAGGGATTACAACGCACAATCCCAATGTCTTGGACTTTCCGGCCACGATGACAAATATGCGCTCAGGGACTACGATGATGAGCGGCACCGGCATACTCACCAACGGCAAAGGAACGCACAGGGAATATGGGGAATTCAACCTGGATGAGTTAAAGGTGAGTGCCCCCCCCCCCCCCCCCCCCCGAGTGGCTTTCTAAGTATTTTCTGGCTTTGAATGTCGAGTCGAATGAGATTTGTGGAAAAGGCAAGCATTTAGGGTTTCAGGGATTTTATTGAATTCTTCTGTTGTAATGATTAAGGGTACTTATGAAATATTTTATGTCCTCTTTGTGATGAATAATGTAATTCTAAGTGAGATTCTGCCTTCATTCAGAAGATAGAATAATATGCGTTATGAGGATGATACTTGTGATTTTTTATTATTATTATTAATGATAAATACAGCATTTTCTTTTCGTTATTTTCTATTTTTTCTTTCCTTTTGTCATAGGAGGGTGATCGGATCGGCATGATGCTAAAGACCGGTGGAGAACTTCACTACTATATCAATGGCCTGGACCAGGGAGTTGCAGCTACCAATGTACCACCTCCCGTGTGGTCTGTTGTTGATCTATACGGCATGACAGTTAAAGTAAGTGCTGCAGTCCGAAAGTTTTTAAGAAAGAGGAGAGGTATCTAGGAACCTACAGGGGTTTGATTTTGTTGCTTTCCGTCAGTATATTTTCTTTAGATTAAAGATTTCTTATTTATATGTCACCATGAGTGGAAATATTGGAAAGGTTGATAAGCACATGCTAAAATTTGTGATTGGATTGAATATATATGATTTAAATATTGGAATCCTGAGGAGATTGATTTGTGTTAGTTCTTTCATGCTGCAGGAATGTCTTTTTATTAGGTTTGGATAGTTTATGGTTTAGATTGTTTCAGAAATATCTTTTCATGATATATACTGAATAGTAATCTTAAGTTTTTGATATAGTAAATGCAGTTTGAACTCCTCCTTTGAGCTGTGCGAGGTTAGTGACAATAGGTCAATAATGTCTGTGAAGGTGTATCATGTCTAAGTATTGCTGTACATTATGCAAGGAGTTTGTAAATTTTTAACTGAAAATAGCATGTGTTATCTTTTAATTAATATTCTGATGTATAATAAGAATAACTAGAGTGTTTACATTTGACATGAACTGTTGAAATGTGTAGAAAAAATATTTTGTTCAAAATTCCTCCCCAGGAACTTACTACTCAATCCACCCTGCCTTGAGAATCATCCATAGTATCTTTGTACCAAATCTTGATATTCCCATCTCAGTCTACCTTTCCAGAGAAGTAGAGAGTCACCAGTACTAATCCAGATTTGAATCTATATCCCATCCATAACAGCCCATCAGCACCTCACAGATGCCAGTGAGCAAATTTGAATATTTGAAGAATGTTGAACTTAGACCATTTAGGGAGATCTCAGTGCTAAATACTTGACCTAGTGTCCAGAGTACAGGATTGTTTATAGACACCAATTTGTTGATGGTAATTTTTATATATGTGGAGAGATGGAAGTGTGCATATGTTAGGGGGGATAATAGAGGTGTTAGTCATCATTTGCTAATGGTCAAAATCCATATTTGGCTCATTATTAACTTACAATTGAATATATAAAGAGCAGAATGTAGCTAAATTGAAGACTGGTAGAAGGGAATCAGCTTTGAGACTAGCAAGGAAATCATTGTACGATTACAAATTTCTCACACAGGTAACGATAGTGGACCGTGACCAGCGAGAAGAGCAGAACTTAATCACTCGAAGAAACACTCAGTTGTCGGATATCCAGCCACCTTTGTCCGATACAGGTAGGTTATGTCGCGGTCTTGTTTGATGAGAAATTAGGGTTAGAAGTATAGCTAGGTTTTCTATTTATTATTATGTATAGTGCAGGAAGTTCATTTAATGAATGCTTAGAAATAGACAAAGAAAATCTATCAGCTATATGCCTCTGTTATTACATTAGTGGGTAAAACAAATGGAACTGTTTAGAAATTTCATTTATAAATAATTTTTTCAACTTCCTGGATGGATCCCTAATAGCAAGCTCTTTGTTAATTTATAATAAAACAAGGTATATGTTGGTAATTGTTGTGTATGGATTTTATATTTGAGGAAAGTTGTGTTTTTCTGAAAAGTATTTTTTGAAACAATGCTTCACTGCCTTTTTTTTTTCTACTGGGATCTTTGAAGCATTTGACAATTTAGGCACAAATTTTACCAGATAAAATTTAATTTTTTGGAGGTTGATATTACTTTGAGAGAACTTTTATATCATTGGTAGCTTTTGCAAAGTTATCAATATTATGAAAGGTTATGTTAATGAAATGCCTTCTTGAATGGCAACTGGAAAATTCACTTTGAAGTAATTGGGTGTTTTAGTAATATTGTTTCATTCCTGTAATAGGCAAGGTTCCTCGAAAGCCAAAAGGTACAGTAAAAGTTTATACATTTCACCCGTTAACTTTCCTTACACATGAATTGGTTTATGTTGTGGTGGATAATTAAACTGTATTCAGTATGAAGATATCGTTGACATTATACCCTTCGGTAATGTGTACACTTTTTTCTTCTTTTTTTTTTCTTTTTATTGTATACATTCCTTTGCCATTTGTTTAGATAGAAAGGAATGCCTACTTGTGCCAGAATTGACTTGGTGTCAGCGTTGGTATTAGTTTGGTATTTCTTAGTATATTTGAAACTGTTTTGATTGTCAATGATTAATGTTATGTTTTATTTTTTTAACTTCTCTTGCCTGTATATATTTCTACAGAAATGCTACATAGTTGAAGTTCCATGATATAATGATATTCATGGTAGATGAACTGTAAGCATCAATAATATTCTATGCTCTGACAACAGGCATTTATGATGATTCTTTGGTTGCAAAAAAATAAATGCATTGTGATTTTTTTCTTTTTGTGGTCTTCATGTTAAGCGGTGTTTATCCCAGAATTGTTTGCAGGCTTATTACAAATTTTAACCTATATTTAGAATGAATAAAGCTGATATTGGAGAACAAGAAAATTGTTGAAGCTGGGAAGGAGCATTGAAGACAGTGCCACATTAGCATAAGTGATGTAGTCGCAAAGAATCTACGAATGTTCAGTGAGCGATTCTCAGTGACTGTGATATAGATTCCCTCCCCTCCCCCATTAAGTTTTTAATGTAATATCAGAGCATAGCTCGTATTAAAACCATACTTTAAATGATTTGTATTGGATTATTCAACATCAGTTATGTTGCATGCTTGCAAGGAAATGTACAAAAACAAAGAAATAGTTTGCATAGTCAGTATAGATACTTGTCTTAGGTGTGAATATCCCCCTTGACTACCACAAACCGTCATAAAAACTCTTTTTAATAAAGATCTTACAAGCACATTTTACTTATTATTTTCGGTCCAAGAAGTCTAGTACAAAGGCTGTAGCAATCAGGAATTTTAATCTAATTGTAAATGTCAGTTAATTTGTCTCAAGCAACCATGACATTTGTACAGGGGATCAGTGCCAGGTAAGTACAGTGTACTTTCTATTTTGGTAAGACCAAAATATGAGAAAAATCTTTCCTAGCCAGCCTCGCCTCAAGTAGCTACCAGGCACAGAGATAAACTGAAGAACTAAATCCAAGAAAAGACCAGTAACAGCCGGCTCACACAAGTGGAAGGAGTGGCTATATTAGGCAGACTCATATAAAAAAAGCAGACAAAGACTGTCTGTTTTCATAGTGTAGACCATTAAATATGTAATTGTTAAACAGTGGGATAAAGTCATGTTTTCCTACCTGTCAGATAGGGCCAGGTGAGCAATATATGATAGCACATGGAACTACCAAAGTGCTGTGAGTGTGGGAGATATCTGCTGAAATGACAACATTATTGGACTACCAAAAATGCTATGATAGGGTCTTCTAGGCAAAACCTAGGGAAGGTGAGGATGCTGCAGTGGTAGTGACAGCTCTTGCCAAGAAATGGAGAAATGAAGAGATAATGGAGACATCGGCTGGACTGTCATGGTAGCGAAACCAGTGGAAGCTTCATTTAGTGTATTAATATAGACAACTATTGCTCATCACTGACCCTCATGATGAGTGTATGGAGAGCTAACTTTATTCCATAAATGGAGGACCTGCTACTAAAAGTAGGCCTCACAAATTTCACGAACATTCAGAAGGAAATAGCATTTGTAAGGGAATTCCTTAGTCACTACAGGTGAATGAGGGGCTGGAAGAAAGAGAGAGCAGAGGAAAAAAACATCTCATTTGCCACCTTACTTATCACTGAAGATGGCAAAAAATGCAAGATTCTCATGTAACCAAACCAAAAACACACTTCAGGTAAAATCAGTAATATGCAAAGTGAACAGCATAACAAAAGTGAACAAAAGAGTTATTTGTAACTTGCGTGAATATTTCTCCTTTTCTCAATTACTGGTATTTGGATGCATTATAACTGCTATTGGTGCACAGGCAATAAAGATGACATTTTTTATTAGACTATTATACCTGATCGCTAGACCATGTGACCAGAAAATTGATCATGTTAAGGTTTTCCTTTTCTTCTAAACTTAATTCAAGAACTAGACATTTACTTTTTGGAATTGAAATTCATAATTGCCTGAAATTTATTCTTCATTCTTTTTCTTTATTAAAACATTTCTACTCAAGGCGATCTTACATTTCATTATTTTGTTCTAGCCTTAGTGTATATTGATAATTCTCAGATTTCCCTGAAAGCAAATCATTACATACTTTTAAACTTACTAAAAGTATCATACTCTGTTGAGCATATAGGAACAAAACAAAGATACAGTAAACATACATTACTGGTCTTTTGTTTATTTTTTTTTTACATACATAATGTATGTTATTTAATTTATCCCAGATATATGGCCTGGCATATGACAAGGCAAACTTTTTTTTTTAAGTAGAGTTATTTAGAACAAATTTACAATGATACAGCGATATTCATTGGTTGTGTATATGTGTAAGTGTTCAAGAGTGTAGCTAACCATGGTTGTTAGTGAATGATGAGCATAAATTACCATTATTGTCATTAGATATCTGTTCTTCACATCCATCATCTCTGTAGTTGTATGAATAATGCTGATTGTGATGTCTCTTCTGTTTGCAAGTATAGGTGGTAAGTGACACATGTTTTGGATATATTTATAATATTCTGAAGGACATAAAGAAAAGTTTTAAGACATAAACCATGTTTCTTGAAAGAGACAGATTCTGTGAACACAAGATGAACAAGAATCAGGTCCATAAAATTCACTAAGAATTAAGACCGGCCCTTCAGTAATGGACTTTCATCATGGCCCTGTAGCATTCTCATGTGCAACAAATAGGGCCTGGTATGCTGGTTTAGTGACTACTGACCCTAATCACTGGTACTTGAGAAAGATTTATAACTTGATGATTATGCAAACAGTAGGAATACCATCCTTTTCATTCAATACTAGAATTATTTTTTACAGTATTTCTTTTGATGCTATGATCAGAATATTTAATCAGCTTGTTCACAGTGTGTTTTTTACAAATACAATTATTTTTTATGTTAAATGAAAACGTGGGTACTATTATCTTTTAATAGTTTTTCATATGGTGGTTATGGGTCAAGGGGAATTGTGGTTTTATTTTAATTTTATGTATTTATTATTATTTTTTTATGTGTTATTTCTTGAGGATAGTAATGCCGTTTCACTTCTGTTTTAGCTATAGGTCATGGTCTTGGAAAGCCAAAAGGTATGATTATGATTATTATTCTCCCCTCTTAAATGTGTATCATTATGTGTAAGAGAATATTCTACTCTGTATTGATTATTTATTACCAAGAATGTTAGATATTTCCAAGTAGATAGCATACCTGTATATTAGCATTTCCACATTGTCTGTATTGTTCTTTGATAATGCAGGTCGTCAGTGCAGGTAATACTTCTCCCTCTTGGAATAAAAGGAAATGCTGTGTATATAGGATTCTTTTGGAATACCGGCATGCAGTGTTTTTCCTATAACCCTTTTTTTTTTTTTTTTTTTTTTTTTTTTTTTTTTTTTTTTTTGGTAAAATAGTTGGTTAGGTGTTCATTCGGGGGGAGGGGGGGGTGATGGGTCTCACTTTATTTTATTTTATTTTTTTATAGTAATATCAAAATAAGACAAGTTACTGGAGCTAAGATTTGTTGCCATTTCAGTACTTTGATATCCTGTCAAATGAATTGTCATAACTCTTCCTTTTGATAGTATTATTTCATAATGCATCACGTTTATTTACTTGTTTGTTGACATCAGAGTAACAGGAGTACTATGATGGCCAAGTAAGCTGTCGGCATCTTGATTTAACTGCAGTTTTACCTTTCAAAATATGCATCATGCACAAGCTGGTGATGAAATACCATTTTGATTGACACCAGTAAATGTTCCTAATTTTGATAGAGCATAAGGAAAGAGATAGTTTGAATGAAGGAGATATATGTTAACACAAAACCCTTTTTTGAAGATGTAAATAAATGAGCATTGTTAAAATCCTTGTTCTAATTTGCATGAATGGATTATCCTTTTCTATCCTACTTAGGATTACAACAAGCCTTGTGCAAGGGAGTAAGCAAGGCTTATTTTTAGTTATACTTTCCTTCTAGAATGTAGGGATTATAGGTAATTCTAACTTTGTCAAACAGTTATATTGCATTTACATGAACTTGTGATTAAATTTTCTTTTGTACAATCCAATTTGGCCTTTTTTTTTTTACTCTACCCATTGGATCCAGATGATTCACTGCCATCATGTGCCCCAAAATACAGGCATCAG